AAACTGTTCATCAAAACTAAATCCACAAAAACAGTAGAAAATGGCCCAAGTGCTTGGACACCTGCACCCACGTGGGAGACCCGAAAGAAGCTCCTGGCTCCTGACTTCAGATCAGCTCAGCTCCAGCCATTGCAGCCATTTAGGTAGTAAATCAGCAGATGGAAGATCTCTCTTGCCGCTGCCTCTCTGTAACTCTGCCTTTCAAATAAATAAATAAATATTTAAAAAATTTTAAAAAAAAGAAAACTAAATCCACAGATAAGAAATGACAAAGGGGAAATAACCATAGACAAAATTTAACAATAATTATAACATATTTCTTGTCATTTGTGGACCTCAAAACCAATTTTAAAATCTTAGTCCATGTTTTATAATATTTTTATTCTGATAAAATATTAAATCAGTATGCAGTTTTTTCAATAGTTCTATTAATAATCAAGATAGTGTGGTTCTGGGGAGGAAACACAATATAAATCATTAGAAACATAAATAAGACAGCATACACCAAAAGCAATATAAACCAATAGATCAAAATAGAGAATCCAGTATTAGATACAAAAAAATACACTGAACTTATTTTTGACGAAGTTGGAAAAGCAATTCAATGGAGGTAGCATTGCCTTTTCACTAAATGGTGTTACAGTCATATATTTGAATTCCACACCATAATCAAAAATTAACACTAATGGAAAAAGAACTTAAATGGGAAATCCAAAATAATAAAACTTCTAGAAAACACAATAGGAGAAACTCTTTGAGATCTAGGGATAGATAAAGACATCACATGTTGTCATACTTTTCTTACAAAAGCATAATACATAAAAAGAAAATTTGACACTTTAAGTTTCATCAAGATTCAACACTTGCTTTGTAGAAGAACTCGTCAAGTGAAAGAAGAGACAATCGATAGACAGTGACAAAAATCCCATAGGAGCTTTATTCATAACAGCCGAAATGGAAACAACTCAAATGTTCTTCAGCCTGTGAATTCCTAAGCAAACTGCAGTACGTACATACCATGGAATGCAACAAAAAGGAATGAAATATTGAAATAAGAAGGAACTTGAATGAATTGCCAGGCTATTATGCTAAGTGAAAAAAAGCCAAACCAAAAAGACAAATATTACATGATTACTTTTATCAAACATCCTTAAAATGATCAATTTCAGACAAGTAGAACAAATTAGTGAAAGTGAAGCAGATACAAATATAACAGGACAGCATGAAGGGCCCTAGTTGGGATGGAATTCTCTTATACCTTACTTTTATTAATTTCAATAGCTCCATTGTTATGGTTTTTTAAGGTCCTACTACTGAAAGTATCTGGAAAAAGGTTACATGGGGTTTCTGTGTATTATTTCTTATAACTGCATATGAATTCACAATGATCATGAAAGAATAAGTTTAATTTAAAATGTTTAATAGAATCAGAAAATGTCTGTATGAAAATAAAGGTAAAGTTCCATCTGTTTTGACTATAGAATATCTAAAAGCCCTTTTGCAAAATTTAAAATACAAAAATAAACTAGAAAATAGTTGTCACATACATACAGAACCCATTCATTTTCTAAAGATGAAAAGAGGGTTTCCAATAAATATGAAAAATTCCAATTTCTTAAGAGAAAGACATGGGCAAATAATATGAATGAAAGTTTATAAAATAAGTAATTTAAATATTCAATACTTATATGAAAAGTCTAACCTCAGAAGAATTAACAAAAAATAAAATGTGAATTCAGAGTTTGCCTGCTAGATGAGCCCCGAGCATTAAAACTGGCAGTAATGGGTTCCAGGAGTGAGCTCCAATAAAACAAGTGGCAGCAACATTGCTGAGTGCCAACTTGTCAATATTTATCTGGATTCTGAAAACATGGTTCATGTTAGCCAGCTACTGCATCTCAGAAAATTTATCATCAAGAACCAGAAAAGAAACAAAGTTTTATGTGCAACGATATTTATCATACCATTGATTATCATAAAAAGAACAGGAATCAACCTCAATTCCCAACAACTGTAAAAGAAACAGGAATACATCAGTATGTTGTAGAGATAAATATATTCTTATTCAAAGAACAATTAATGGCCTGAGTATTATTATATGTACAATATTATATATTATGTATAAAATAAATAATGTAAAATGTAAGGTAGGACACACAGTGATTTTAAAACTGCTAAAAATAAATACGTATATTAGGATTGCTAGAAAAAAGTTATGAAAATGCACTAAGTTATTATGATTCATGGTTACACTTGAGTAGCAAAATTACATGTTCCTATTATTTTATCCCTTTACATATTTTCTGTTAAGTATATATTTACATAATTGGAAAATCATTTTTAAAAATAAAGCCAGAAGTCAACATTTTACACTGTGTATCACAGGAAGCTACATTTTATGGAAAGAGATTTTAAAATGAGGTAGATAAAAGTCTAGTTAGTGCATCTGCTATTGCAAATTAAGTATTTCATGCAAAATATTAGATGCAATTCCCAGGGAAAACAACTGATTTCCAGGTAGAAGAAACTGACAAGCAGGATGGTCAGAGCTGGAAGAACTGGAACCCAGTAAAAACAATGCACAGCTCTTGATCACTGACAACAGATGTAGTCTTTCTCCATACAACAAAATGGACATAATTTATAAAGCTGGGAGTTAGAAAGATATTGAGGAGACAGCTGACAGTGAGCTTCCTGAGGTCATCAAGTTCCTATAAGTCATCCCAGCCTTTTGTCAGTATAACTGCTCATACCCACCCTCCCATACACAAATATTTTTTTTATGTACACTGCATATCAAAAGCAAAGTCTTAATGAAAAGTCCAGTGTACCCAGGCATCATGGTACCATGAGGTGGCGGGGGTGGGGGCACGGATACCAACTTTTAGGGCTACAAATGGCATGGCTGTTATTCCAAAGTGATAATGAAGGAATCAGACTGGGGTATATTATACCCTGCTGCAATAACCCTCTATTTTTCCATATTAATACCAGACCTTCTGTGCCTAACTCTGAGACCAACCAGTGTCACAAAACAGCCAACAGATTTCCCTGCTGTCTGGAAGCATAAGAGCCAAATTGTAACATTATTAGCCAACCAAAGAGAAGCATTTGAGTGACAATCTTCCAAGCTCTGCAAAATTAGGAGGTAGGCACAAATGAGGAAGCATTGGGTTGCTGGGCTTAAGTCTGTATTTCCTACTGCTGCCCCATCTAGAACATTCATCAATGAACTCCTTTCTTGGCTGTGTTGTGAGTCTGGGACTTCCTGTTACAGAGCAAAGAAGAGAAGATGGCAGTGTGAGTGGGCTATCCTGCTGAGGCCACTTCCGTATTTGCTATAATGAATGCTGTTCTCATTAAGATAATCCCTTATCGTACTCAGCAGAGTAAGCAGAATTTAATCAGGAAGAAGCTAGTCCAGCATTAAGTTTTAGACCTTGTCCCTGAGCAGCAGGGTCAGTTATGCCCAGAGCCCCATGGAGAGGTACACATTCATTGTCCCTGTCACTTGCTCACTAGCACAGTCTCTCCTTCCAACATCCAAGTCTCCCAGGGAGTGTGTCATTCAAATTACTGTCTCAGCAAAATTGCAAGTATTACTAGTTTTTCATGAACTATGGAATTGACCAGTAATGTAAATCTGCATTTACATTAAGTAAATGTAAGTCAGCATTCTATTATATGCAGAGACCACTTTCTACTTTCTGTTGTTAGAATGTGTCTACCAAATTTCATGTGTAGGAAACTTAACCCACAATTCACATGTTAATGGATTTGGGAGGTGATTGTGTCTTAATGGCTCTGTTTTTATGAATGACTAATTTATTCGTGGGTTAACAGATCATCAAGAGAGTAGCTTTGTTATAAAAGTAAGCTTTCTCTGACATGCTTGCTATCTCACCATGTGATGTATTCCACCATCTTACGATGTAGCAAGACAAAACCAATTCTGAGCAGATGCCATCATCATACTATTAAACTTCCCAGTTTCCAGAACTGTAAGTCAAATAAACATGTGTTCTTAATAAATTACCCAGTCTCAGCTATTTTGTTATAGCAACAGGAAATGAACTAAGATGCCACTCTTGGGCCTCACCTGGGACTAAGGGCCAGCCAGGGTTCTTTCCCAAGTCTAGTCTCAGGCAAGCATCTCATTGCAAAAGAAAGACTACCCGGGTCATGGATGATTATTCCCATAAGCTTTAGATTCCTCTAACACTCAGCTAAAGCTGAAGCTACCAAGCTTTGCATGAGATTGGTTCTGAGAACCAATGTTGTGCATACATCCAGTAGTGAGTTGACAGTCAACAACCTTCCATAGAAATCCTGCTCAACATCAAATAAATGCAGTTCATTTTGACAGCACCATTTTTCAGTGCCTTCCATTTACATTCTGCCTAATCACCTCACAATGTGCAGTTCTGCCACATAAACATGACCATGCATACAATCAGCACCCCTGAGAGAGCCCAGCTACTTAGAAGCACATTCTCCTATGCTCCCCACATACTCTGGGCCTCATCTCTGTACAGTCCTCCTGAGAGCTGCCCATACATGGAACATCTACGTCCAGAATGCCCTCAGCATGACCATCCTGTCTCAGCCTGCAACATCCCTGGGTCATGGCTGGCTTTTCTGAAATGCAATCCACTAGGGGTATCTCAGACTCTCATTAGACATCATTTTCAAGGACAGTCAAAGCACAAGTCCTCATTGGAATTTTCAAGGAGACAGCAACATGAAATACTTGCAAGCCCACCACCATTTCCTGACCACTTCATTGAACCTGGATCAGGCAGAATCCTAGCTAACAATCCTAATCCTACTTATAAATTTTCTATGTGCTTTTTCTCCCAGCTAACTTCACCAACACCAAAGTCTAATTGCTAAAAACATGCTTATCTTCAAGTTTAACGAATGCATTGGTGATTTTTTTTTAGTTAAATGAGCTTAGAACCTAGGTGTTACACAAAGACGGAAAATGTCTTTTAAAGTACCTGAAAAATTCCATGAAAGAGAATCCATATCCGTGCTGTTCGGCAATCCCTGCACAAACAACGTTTGCTGAAGCTCCAATCAGTGTCCCGTTACCTGAAATCAAAATTTAAAAAGCAAAATAAAATCCTAGTTTACCCTGTTAGTAGCTTCTGTTCTATTTTGTTCTGAAATATTTAGATCATCTCACAAGCTTTGATCTGATAACTCCAGAGACACTATCAAAGTGATTGCTTCACAAATATCAGGAAACACACACCCTGGCAATCAGAACATAAATCTCACTGCTTGTAAACACAGGGATTCATCTATAGACATGTCTATGTGATGGGAAAGAGGAAGTGCTAAGGAGATGAGCATGTCACTGTAGGATCAGGTTGCACACAGTGGCACATATCTTTTAAAGGAAAATGAAAGCAATCAGAGCCAACAAACATAGGCAGGAATGTGTGTCCTTTGGAGTAGCTGAATGGAAGCTCAGATGAGGACCACCCTCCTCAGGACTCCAGACCCAGACACTTTACCAGGAAACCCTTTTGGATGAACAGGTAGGTGGAAGCAACTGGGCAAAAACACCTTAATCAGCCATGTTCATGGAAGGTCATCTTCTTAACATGAAATACCTCCTTGGGGAAGACTTTGTTGACTGCACATGAGGTAGATAAACTCACACATGAACTTAACGCAGTCTCTATGGCCTGGGTGAGGGTTATAGCTGAGGTCAGCCAATCAGATCATTATATGTAACTCAGGCATATATACATACACAGAGAGACAGACAGGAAATTGAGCTTCTTCTCTCCCTCTGAGCCATAGAGGTCACTGTCCTGAGACAGGTGCATGACTCAGGTTCAGGAATTTTAGCTCAGTTCTCCATCTGTGCATAAACCATTAAGGATGAGTTCCCCCCACCCCCCCACCCCGCCACTTCAAGGATTGGTGACTTGAGAAATAACACTTTGGAACTGTCTACAGAATGCCAGCATGAGAAGACCACTTTTCTGAGACCAGACAACACAAATATAAGCAGCAAGAAGATCAGCGTCCCCTATGAAGAATTAAAAGCAAGGAAAGGCTGCGTAGTACACTGCTGTATCAGGATTGGAAAGTGGGAAGCCTGGAAATGGAGCCAAGAGTTCTGACTCTGGAACCAGTCACAGCCGCGCTGGCCCAAACAGCCTCCTCTCAGCATCATCACTCAGATGTGTCCATCCTACCATCCTGCCTTCCAGTTTGCTCATGTCCTAAGCCAGGAGAACAGCCAAATGAGACTGCATACCCATGCCAAGCCACCCTGCCCAGAGATTACTATCCACAGTCAGACAAGTCTCTTCCCACAGGGAGGCCAACATTCTATGGAGATAGTGCCCAGCCTCCATAACTGAAAAAAGCACCTTGGTGCCAGGACAGCATCTGCCCTGCACCCCAAACACTCCAAATCCCAGGACTTAAAAAAGGAGAGCTCCACTTTTGCCCTAAGCAGAACTCAACATGTGATCCAGGTTCAAATGCAATAACTGATGTGAATCTAAAAGCAAAAGGCAACACTTGTTTTTCTTATTGAAAAAAAATACTCCCTTTCCAGTCATAGTGAAGATTTTTCAGGCAATTGCTGCCCAGATAAGTATGGCACCATGCCTGCAGTGGGTCTGAATTCCTGATCTGCAATGAACCACAAGCCAGAAACACAGGGTCTTTCCTTTTCCTTTTCTGGGTTGCCAAGGTGAATTGGCTCCATAGAACATTTTGTTCATAAGCCCCTCCAGATTCAGGGGAAGGAGTTGGGGGCATTTTTAAGAATCTGAGGGCAGTGGTAGAAGCTGGGTCTCCTGGCTACAGGACAATTTTGAGTTGGGTGAGTACAATAGTGTAAACTGAGGAGCCCAATGCAAACTGCTCTTTCCTTGGAGAGGTAGATACAGTATAGAGATGAGCAAGAGCCAGGCAGGCTTATGTCATGATCCCAACCTTCCTACATTTGACTTCTATCAACCTCCTCAGGAATGTAGTATGGGTGACATTATAAAGACTGCAATTCCCTGAAAGTTCCCCCTGCATGCCCTTATAACTTGACCTCCATCTTCAAGTTCCCTGTGTTTTCCACCATCACTTTGCATGACGTCATTTGCCTCCTGAATGCTTCCTAACCTGAGAGGTAGAAAGTTAACTTATGGAATCTCATGGAGCCCTGTTTCTTTTTAAGATGCTTGCAGTTACAGACAGCATAAAACCTGACTACAGCAGCTTAAAAACACAAGAAACAAACTAATACCATGGGAAAAGAAGCATGGAAGCAGAGGGCTGGCAAGCCTCAGTCCAATGTGCATGACGTCAAAAGCAGGTTTCCACAACTCCACAATTCTCTTGACTGCTCTCTGGACACAAGATAGTTTCATGGCCATGTCTAAGGCAGGAAACCAAAGAGGAGAACCAACACCAATAAATTTTATCAAAAGGCAAAAGTTATGCCAAAAGGCTCACAAAATTCCATTATGTCTTACTGGTCAACAAAATGAGACAAGCAAAGCAGATATGCTATCAAAGTGAATGAGCATAGCAGAGGGAAACAACAAAGAGAGTGGAGGCAGTGTTGGCTTCCCCCCACCCCTATTCCTGCACAGATGTATTGGAAACAGAGGACTTCATCCAATAGGATATGAGAATGCTAGATTTATACTCAGAAGCCCTCTGTGGAAGTCAAATTTTCTAAGCTTTGTAACTTGAGAAAATCACTGGTAATTTCTATTCTATTAACTAAAATATGTGGTGTATTAAGGAAAGTAAGATGCAAAATAGGCTGGTATCAGCAACAGGAAGAGTTTCTCTCCTGTGTAACAGGCAGTCAGCAAAGCAGCAAGTCCAGAAGTGTCTGCTTCAGGGCTCCATGGTGCCACTTGAACCAGTTACCTCCATCTATGTGTCCTGCTACCCAGCGATACTTGCAGAATTTGTCCCACACTCAAGATAGAAGCAGTTCTAGGCATCTCCATCACACAACAACATCCAAAGGAAGGAGCAGGACCACTATCTTTCCTGAGATTTATTCTAGGACTGGGGAACTCTACAACTAGCCCCTCTCTCCTCCCAGAAATCATCCTTTCAAGTCTTGATTCCAAATGGCTTTAGCCCACTCACTTCCATGTCAGTTACTGGCCATGGGCAGAAATTCATCTGCCTGTCCTTGACCATCATCAACAGGGGTGTTAGCTACCTCTGTGTTAAATGAGGACAGTTGCCATCTTCCCTAGGTAGCTCATGGGGTAGCTGTGTGGTTCATGTAAGATTACAAATGTGGTCATGCTGTTCAGATGTTAATGGTTCCTGCAGTACAGACGCTCCTTGAGTTATGATGAGGTCGCATCCTTTTAAAATCATTTTAATTTGAAAAATCCTAAATCCAAAAAAATGCACTGTGTACACCTAGCCTAGTGAACAGCCTACCTTAGCAACAGAGTACACCACAGAGTGCAGTTGTTTTCCCTCATGACCTTGGGGCTGACAGGGAGCTACAACTGCTACCACAGCCCAGCATCAGGAGAGAGGATCTACTACATAGTCCTAGCCTGGGAAAAGGTCAAGATCCAAAATCTGAAGTAGGTCCCACTGAATGAATGTCACTCTCACACCACTGTAAAGTCAAAATATACTAAGCCAAACAATCCTAACTTAGGGACCACCTCTAGTTTAATATGATGCTAGCAGGGTTGTAATGGCACAAAACATGGCATGGATTCTTGTAGTGGGGAGACAGAAGTCCTGTGTGTCATGATCTCAGCCCAAGCCTCCTCCCCAGTTTCCATTTACAGAGAACATGAAGGGATTAGAATGTGTGTGTGAACAGCTGATGTCTGTCTTGACACATCTGGGTTATCCTATATGGCACCATGATATATGGATCTAGATACAGAACAAGAGTAGTCCTCAAAAACCATACCCTGCCATGTTTTTTTGCAAAGACTCTCCCTCTATCAGTCAGTACAAGTTGCATTAAAAATGCCATACTCTCAGATAGTTAATAATTTTCCAATTTACAGAAAATATAGAAATCAACTCTAGTGCTAACATTCCTTTTGGCAAGTTGAAGAGTTGTTTGCCCTTCAAGACATGAATATGACCCATGGAGAACAACAGATTTTAATTCAGCCATCTGTTCCTGGATTGGCCACTCTCTCTACTTTACCATGACATGAATGTGGTTTCCATTTCCATATGTTCCCTGCTCTCAGTTCACTCATTCTCCTTGGTCCTTCTGCCCAAGGATTGTACCCTCCAGTAAAGCCTCAGCATGTAAACTTGCCTCTGCCTCTGCTCTCTAGGAAACCTGGGCTAAGGCAGATTTTTCTTAAGACTAATTTTTTTTTTTTTTTTGACAGGCAGAGTGGACAGTGAGAGAGAGAGACAGAGAGAAAGGTCTTCCTTTGCCGTTGGTTCACCCTCCAATGGCCGCCGCGGCCGGCGCGCTGCGGCCGGCGCACCGCGCTGATCCGATGGCAGGAGCCAGGAGCCAGGTGCTTTTCCTGGTCTCCCATGGGGTGCAGGGCCCAAGCACTGGCCATCCTC